CCTCACGAGGCGTCGCATCCTTGATTCACCGACGGCACTCACCTAACACCAAGATCTTCACATGCATCAACGAACGTATCGCGTACATCGAACTCGACATCTCCACCTCAAAGATCCGAATCGCAACTGCATACTTCCCACATTCCGGTTACCCCGACACCCACATCCAGCAGATGTACGACTACCTGACCGCATTACACGACGACGCCGGACAACAGAAGCGCAATACTATCATCACTGGGGATTTCAACGCTCAAGTCGGCAAACGATTCGCCGATGCAGACAAAGAGCTGGATATCGACAAGAGACGGAGACCCACCATAGGGAAGCATGGAATGGGAAAGTGCAATGCACGCGGAACGTGGCTTAGCACATGGGCAAACTCACAAAACATGCTCATCCCCAACACGTTCTTTTACAAACAGCACCGTGACACTTTTACATACACCAGCAGCGGAGAGAACAAGACGCAATCACAGATCGACTACATACTCCTAGACAAATCATGTCGCAACCAACTCATCGACTCACACGCGACCAGCACTCCAGACCTCAGCTCCGACCACCAAGCGGTATGCATGAAGATTGTCCTCAACGCTAGCGCGGGGAGGAAACGGAAGAAAAGAAAATGTGGGCCCGACCACCGACCGTTTCACCCGCCCGCCAACGACCCTCTGTACCAGCAGTGTCTACAGCAAAGGCTCATCGACAGTGGCAACAACACCAGCACCGACGAGAGGAGCAACAGCATCGGCAAAGCCCTTGTACAAGCTCACAAAGACTACAACGAATACCAAGACGCGCCAATCCAGCACCATACATGCGAAGACACTCTCGCCGCAGACCGAACATTACGTGAACTCATAGAGCAACGCCGCAGCACACCACGCAGAGATGCAACTACCCGGACTACACTCAGCAAGCTCATATCGAAGCAATTCCGACTCATCAAGCGTATGCGCGAACACGCCAGGTTGCAATCGATTGTTTGTCAATTCAGGAATTTGAAACAGATCGCTGGTGTGAAATCATCCAAACGCAAAGAACTGATTGCATCGATGACGACAGCGACCGGCACAGAAGCCACCGACAGACAGAGCATTGCGGACGTCTTTGCCACGTTCTACGAGCAGCTGAACAAAGACCCAAAAAGCAGCAGAGTCGACAACGAGACAACCGCAGCGACTTCCCAGATACCACCGTTCCCAGCTGAAGAGCTTCGCCATGCCATTAAACAGTTAAAGACCGGCAAATGCAGCGACACCGCGGGAATCACAGCAGAGCTTTTGAAGGCAGGCGGAGAAGTTGCGGAACGACATTTACTCCAACTCTACAACGACATCATCAAACCAGACCACCCACCACCAGAGCAGTGGAAGAAGACAACGATTACGGTGATTTGCAAGTCCGGCGACCCAAAGTTACCACAAAATTGCAGACCCATTGCTATGATTCCATTACTCTACAAGCTTATGTGACGCCTCCTCTGCAATCGACTTGAATCTGCTCTTGATTCGCAGCAAAGCGTCGATCAGGCTGGGTTCAGATGTGGCTTCAGCACCGAGGGCCACCTCTTCACAACGACAATGCTACACGAGAGATCGTTCGCATGGCAGTTACCCTTGTGGGCAGCAGCAATCGAATTCAAGAAAGCATTTGATTGCGTCGACCACGACGAACTTTGGAAAGGTCTGCGACAACAGCACATACCAAACACCCACATTGAATTCTTACAACACCTGTACGATGACCAGACGGCCACTGTACGAACCGATACCAATAGCAGAAGCTTTTCAATCCAAGGGGGGGTGAAGCAGGGCGACCCGCTCAGCACGTTCTTGTTCAATGCGCTCTTGGAACACGTCTTCCGGCAGCTCAAGCCAAGCTGGCACCGCAGGAGGTTTGGCATCAAGCTGGGCTTTTCACCAGGGACCAGCATCACAAACTTGCGCTTCGCAGACGACATCCTTTTATACGCCCCAAATTTGCGACAGCTCATATGTCTACTGCGAGACTTGCGGAAAGAGGCGTCCAAGTGTGGGCTTACACTGCACCAGGCAAAACCAAGATATTTACGAACATAAATAAGCCGGAGGATGGGAAGGACAATTGCACACATCATGTTGGATGGTGCGCAGATCGACATACTACCAAACGACCAGAGTACAAAGTATCTGGGAAGAAAATTGACGTCTCACGAGTTCCACGACACAGAGTTAATTACGGAACAGGCTCGCCAACGGATGGGCGAAGTTCAACAAATTGCGAGACGAACTCACAAGCAAACGATTCCCATTACACCGCATATTGAAGCTCTTCAATGGCACCATCACACCTTGTGTCATGTACGCATCCTCATCTTGGACCTTGACAAAAGACATGCTTATCACTTTGCGACGGACGCAGCGGAAAATGCTGAGACTTGTAATTGGGACGCCGAGGAGACGAACCTCGATTGAGCAAAGCAGACAGACAATTGACGCCGCCAGCAGCATCACCAACCACCACCACCGAGAGCAACAACACCGACACCAGCGCTGGCACCAGCACCGACGTCTGCACCGAGCAACGCAGCCAAAACCACAGCGAGGACGACGGTGAAGACGGCATGGAATCGTGGATCTACTTCCTACGAAGAAGTACATCCACCGCTGTGGCGCTTGCGAAGCGTGCACAGGTCGATGAATGCACAGATGTGTATTTCAAGCGCAAGCGGAAGTTTGCAGCACGAATCGCCAACCACGACATTGAGAGATGGACTCGTCTGAGTGCGACCTGGGACCCCAGCGTACACGACTCACGACCAGCTTTTCGCAGACACGGAGGGCAACGAAAGTCTTGGGAAGACGACATAGTATCTTATTTACGTAGCGCTCATAGTGACGACGGCGAAGCACAGTGGTGGGATTTGGCACAGAATCAGACATTGTGGGGCCATCATGGACACTTGTTCTTACAGCGCATGCGTCGCTATATGGACTCGGGCACTTGCGTCCACACACCGACGGGTAGCGATTCATATCAACAGATAGCCATTTTTGTTTGTTCACATGGACGTGCCGATGTGTTGCGACGACCAGTTTATCATCATCGCGTTTCCTGGCTTCGTCTTCTTCGGCTCCGACTCCGGCTCCGTCGTGCAGATGGTCCACAACAGGCTGGACACGAATGCCGGCCCACAAATACCTACCTCCACCCTCCGACTATGCATTCCCGCCCCCATCCGCTCGTGACGTCCACTCCCACCTCCACCTATAGACCTCTGACCTCCACTTGCTCAGCGCTCCGACCTCCAGCATTCGCGCCCCAGACCCCGCAAGTTCAGCTCCCCGACCTCCAGCCTCCAACCTCCGACTTTCCACCTCCACATCCACCTATCGACCGTCTGTCTCTGAAAGCTCCACACTCCGACCTCCACCCAGCATCCGACTTCCACTCGCACCTCCACCTATCGACCTCCAGCCCCCGCCAAATCGGCACTCCGAATTCCACCGTCGGACATCCGACTTTGCAGTCCTACATCCACTTATCGACCTTCAGGCTCCGCCAGCTCAACATAGTGACTTCAAGCCTCCAGCATCCGACTTTCCACCTCCACCTCCACCTATCGACCTTCAGCGTCCACCAGCTCAGCACTCCGACCTCCAGCCTCTAGCATCCGACTTTCCACCTCCACCTCCACCTATCGACCCCCAGCGTCCACAAGCTCAACACTCCGACCTCCAGCCTCCAGCATCCGACTTTCCACCTCCACCTCCACCAGTCGACCTCCAGCGTCCGCCATCTCAGCGCTCCGACCTCCAGCCACCAGCATCCGACGTTTCCACTTCCACCTCCACCTATCGACCTCCAGCGACCACCATCTCAGCACTCCGACCTCCAACCTTCAGCATCCGACTTTCCATCTCCACCTCCACCTATCGACCTCCAGCATCCGACTTTCCACTTCCACGCCCATCTATCCGACCTATCACTCTCACCTCCACCCATTGGACTCCAGAGTGCACCAGACGTCAAAAAAATCGACGTTTCACACCACTTTCATCCAGATCGACCGCCAGTCCCAGGCCGACTACTGAGGGCTCCGGCCCCCCGCGCCGCCCTCCTAGGGCCAGTCCCACTGGACCGTCATCGCGCGCTCGCTCGCTCGCTCGCCCTTTCTGCTCCTTCTCCTTCTCCTTCAGGTCCCTGCTCTGCCTCCTCCTCCTCCTTTTCCTCCTGCCGCTCCCTCCTTTCCCCCTCCTCGTTTTCTCCCGCCCTCCCCCCCTCCTCGTTATCTCCTCCTCCTCCTCCTCCTCCTCCTCCTCTTCCCTCCTCCTCCTCCTCCTCCTCCTCCTCCTCCTCCTCCTCCTCCTCCTCCTCCTCTTGCTCCTCCTCCTCCTCCTCCTCCTCCTCTCCCTTTCTGCTCCTCCTCCGCCTACTTCTCCTGCAGGTCCTCCTCCCTCTCCTCCTCCTCTTGCTCCTCCTCCTCGTCCTCCTCCTCCTCCTCCTCCTCTTCCTCCTCCTCCTCCTGTTCCTCCTCCCCCTCCTCCTCCTCCTTCTCCTCGTCCTCTGTCTCCTCCTCCTCCTCCTCCTCCTCCTCCTCCTCCTCCTCCTCCTCCTCGGGGGTCCTCATTCGTCTTGTGGTCCTCGTCATCCTCCTCACCCTCCTCCTCCTCATCCTCCTCCTCCTGTTCCTCCTCCTGGTCCTTCTCCTGTTCCTCGTTTTATTCCTTCTCATCTTCCTCCCATTCCTCATGCTGCTCATCCTCCTTCTGCTCCTCCTGTTCCTTTTCCTCCTGCTGCTCCCTCCCTCCGTCCCTCCCTTCCTCCCTCCCTCCCTCCCTCCTCGCCTTCTCCCGCCCTCCCCCCCTCCTCGTCGTCATTTCTTCTTCCTCCTCCTCCTCCTCCTCCTCCTCCTCCTCCTCTTCCTCCTCCTCCGCCTCCCCCTCTGCCTCCCCCTCCTCCTCTTCCTCTTCCTCCTCCTCGTCTTTCCCCTCCTTCCTCCTCCTCCTCCGCAGGGTGGCGGCCTTCGCAGCCGCATATGTATTTGCCGCGCCACGAGCTGGAGCACGTGGTCGCGCGGGCCAACGGCCGGCGGTCGCAGCTCAGGCGCGCGGGCGGGTTCCTGCGGGGGCGTGGCAGGTCCAGATGACGTCGCGAGGAGGGATGGGGAGGAAGGCACGAGGGAGGAGGGAGGAGGGGGAAGGGAGGAGGGACGACGACGACGACGAGGATGACGATGACGACGATGACGACGACGATGATCATGATGAGGGAGGAGGGAGGAGGGCGGAGGAACGAGGAAAGAGGGAGAAGGGAGGAGGAAAGAGGAAAGAGGGACCACGACGATACCGATGACGACGACGACGACGTTGACGGTGACGATGACGACGACGATGACGATGACGACGACGAGGACGGCGAAGACGACGACGACGACGACAACGATGACGACGACGACGGCGATGACGATGATGACGATGACGACGACGTTGACGATGACGATGATGATGACGATGTCAACGACGACGATGACGACGACGACGATGACGACGATGACGATGACGCCGACGTTGACGATGACGATGTCGATGACGGTGTCGACGGCGCCCATGACGACGACGATGACGATGACGTTGTCGACGACGACGACGACGACGACGACGACGACGACGACGACGACGACGACGTTGACGATGACGATGATGATGTCGACGACGTCGATGACGACGATTGTGATGTGAGCACAGTGAAAGAAGTGATCACCAGTTTTCTCGGACCGAGCCCGCCCCGCGCTGCGCGCCAGGCGTGCCCGCTGTTGACGCGTGGTGGGCCCGCGGCCAAAGCGCGGGCGGTCGACGGACCCGCCGTTGGATTCGAGGACTAACCCAGGGGCCACTCCCAGCGGCGAGGAGGCCGCAGCAGAGGCGGCGGAGGAGCCAGCGGGGGCCCCGTGGGTCGTCATCCCAGACAGCACCCATCGAGTGCCGCCCAGATAGACGACAATACCGAACCTGTGGTTCGGGCCGCACCTGCCGCTGGCACCCACTGCTACGCAATCTGGGCCGCCCCGGGTTCGAGCGAGGACCTCGCCGGGGTAGAAGAGGAGCGGTCGCGCGGCAGGCGATCGCCGCCAGATTCGGAGACGGCAAGTACGACGTTTGCGGGCGGGATCGCCTGCTTCGGTTCCCGTCGCTGGGCGAGTCAATCGGCAAGTTTTTCGACGAGCAGCGGGACTGCTCATGCATGGTCAAGGTCTTCGAACGGGCCAGGGCGCAATGACGTCGCCGCAATCTGGAGCGCTGCAGCAGACCGGGGACGTCCTGCTTCGCTCGTGGCTGTTCGAGCTGCCTATAGCGGGGGCCGCGCCGCCGGCACGGCAGCGAGGTGCGAGGCCTGCGTCGTCGGCGCCAAGTGCGCGAGGCTCGATGGCCCCGTCGCCGGCGACGCCCTGACACGAGACGACCTCATCGGAGGAGCTCCTCATTGCGGTGTCCGCCGTCTGCCTCCTTTGCGACGCCAGCTCGCTCGCCTCCGTAATCGATGTCTCGGCGACGCTCCAGTCGGCCCCTGGGCGAGGAGACGCCAGCGGACGCGGCCTGCATGGAGGCCTCGCCGGCGTTCCTGGCGCGGCTTACCGAGAGCCGCGCGTAGGGCGAGGTGATCGCGTTTCCGACTCGCCCCGCAGCCCAGCGACTGGAATGTCGGGGCCCCGCTCCGGCCCGTCGCGTTCTCCGACCCCGCGCCCCGGGGCGACCTTGGGCGCATCGGCTTCCGGCTCTCCGTCGACGGGCAGACCGATGGGGAGAGGTGCCTCGCCGCCGACGAACACGATGGCTAGGGCATGGAAGACGACGAGGTCGACGCAGCCCGCGAGGCTGCCGCGCAGTAGTGGGCAGGTCGGCCGCGCGGCGCCTACGCGGCGTGCAGCCTGGGCGCGGAGGGAGAGGGGCCCCTGGCGAGCCTGTGGGGCCCGTGGTCCTACCCCCCTCACCGAGCGACGCCGCCGCTGGCTGCGCCCGCAGATAGCCCGCGCCAGCCGCCCCTCCTGCTTCAGGCGGGCGCGCGGGGTGCGCGGCGAGGCAGGGGCCCGCGGCGAGCGGCGCCAAGAGGGCCGCAACCCTTCGGCGCGTCAGCGCGTCGCGCGACGAACGCGACCTGCTCGGGGCCGTCGGCGGCCAACTGAGGGGATTCTCGGGCCGAGTCGAGCATGTCGAGAAGAGAGGCATGGAGGCTCGTGGCCTCGCCTCTGCGCCCCCCCCTACCGCTGCTCCGGGGTCGCCCCTCCGGGCGAGGCCTTCGGCGAGCGCGCGGGCCCCTGGCCTCGCTGTAGCTCGCCCGCGGCGCCGCCCGCGACGGCGGCTCAGCTTCTCGGGGCGCGGCCCGCCACCGCGCCCCCCCAGTCCAGGGCGGGAAAGGGGCCCCTGGCGGCGGCGGCGCGGGGGCTGCGAGCTCGGCCGCGATGCCACAGGCGCGCCCTGAAGCACGACGCTCCGCGGCAAGCAGAGGGTCATATCCGGACGCCTCGAGGGCCGCGCGCGCGTCTGGGAGATGCTTGTCGTCCTTGCGCGCGCTGCGCAGGTCGCAGCGGCGCGATCTCCTCGGCGCGCGGATCGGCCGGCCCCTGGCCACGCAGCAGTCGATGATGTCGAATGCCTCCCGGAGACTGTCCCAGCCGATTACGGGGCCCCCAGGCCTTCGGCCCGCGGCGTGTCGGGCGGAGAGAGGCTTCGCGCGCTCCGCGAAGTTCGCGGCCTCTTCGCCGACTTTCGGGAGACAGGCGCTCAGGGCCCCCCTCAAGAGAGGAGGCGCGGGCGCCGCCAAAGACCGCGCCGCCGAGGGCCGCGCCTGGAGCCAGAAGTCGAACACGTGGACCGACGAGAGAGGGCAGGACAGCGGCGGGGGCGGCAGGGGAGGCGAGCGATCGTCTCCACCAGATGAGCCCGACAGATTACGGAACGCACAGAGGGGGGCCAGCGCAGGAGTCGGGTCTTCATCGCCATTGCCTTCGACGCCGACTTCGCGGGCCACCGTTCGATCGTCGCTCTTTCTCTGCATCTGGCCCGCCGACCTCGCGCTGCGCCTTCCTCGAAGCGGGGGTCCTCGCATTCACCCCGACGGGACATATCGCCCCCCCCTGCATTGTCAACTGCTGCTCATGCCCCGCGGGCTTCCCCACGAGTGGCGCGAGAGTGGGGCCGAGCCGCGGTCGCCGCGAAGACGCGCGCGGTGGCTTCGGGAGAGACGGCGGCGCTGGGCCCACGCGCCCGTCGCCCATCTCTCCCCGCTTTCGCTTGGGCGCCCCGCGGGCGGGTCGACGGCGTCCTGCCTCGCCGCGCCATGGACTGAGAAACAAGTGCAGCTGGTGCGCCATCTTGATTACATGTATCTTGGTTGTTGCCGCGTCGAGGAGTCAATGCCGCCCCTGACTAGCGACGTCGCCGGCGCCCATCGGTCCGCGACAGGGCCCGCGGGCGATTCGCGCTTGGGAGGCAGCGCTCGCGTTGTAGAGCCTTTCACCTTCGCCGCAAGCGAACTCGGCATGATGTCCAGCGACGCGATGATCTTGCTCTAGGAACCAGTCGCGCCGCCTGGGCGCGGCAGCATCTTCCGCGCGCCCCGCGTCTTTGACTTCGAGCCAAGTCGCCTTCCCAGTCAGCTGCCCCCCGCGCGCACGCGCGTGGGCCACTGGGCCGCGGCGGCAGCGCGCGCGCGCGTGCAATTCTTGGCTTTTGCAGCCCGCGCGCCCCGAGAGCCTCCCGCTGCGCGGGGGCGCCCCTGCCCGCGCGGGGCTCTTCGGCGCGGAGCAGAAGGGCGACCGCGGGCTGAGGTTGATCATCGGCGTCGCCGCCATGTTCTTGAGAAGTCGCTGAGAGAGGCCCTCCGCGAGCATGCTTTTGTCGCGGTGCCCCCCGGCGGCCAGTGCGTCTACCTCGAGCTGTTCGTCTCTGAGGGCGGGTGCTTGTCGGTCTCCGCGGACGACGCCGAGAACTTCTGCTACCTCTTGCGGGGCTGGGCGCCAGGATCCAGAAGACCACCCCTGGTTTTGATCTCAGGGCCTGCCAGCTGTCGGAGCAGGGGGCCCCCTACGAGGTGGACTACCTCCGCCAGCGCGGTCATGGCAGGATCGCGCTGGAGGCCTCGGAGGCGGCCCAGATCGTGCATCAGTATTGCCCGCTGTCCGCAGGGTGTCTCCGTGACGTTGGGCGGCTCGGATCGCCCGCGGTTTGGCGCCCCTATCGGGCCGGGTCGTGGATGGCGTTTACTCGGACGACTGCGCGGTCATTGGCCTCTGCGATGGCCCGGGCGCCGCGGACCCGATGCGACGGGCAGCTCTTCGGCGGCTCATCGGCCGGCCCAGGGCGCCAGGAGAGGGGGGGAAGGCGACCCCGGACCGGCCTGGGGGAGTCGCGCGGGGGGGATCTTCAGCGCGTCTCGATGCGTCATCCTCGTCGGGGCCGCGTCGGTTGCTCTCATGAGGAGGCTGGTCGGGCGCTGGGTGCGACGCCTCATGTTTCGCCGGGCCGCCGCGCGCCTCGTGGATAAGCTCCACGCGTGGCTTCGCGTGCCCGTCGTGGACCCCGCGCCGCGGCGTCGGCTGCCAGTGGCGGACTCCGCTGTGTCGGAACAGGTCTCCGCCTCGGACACTGCCCTCGGCGTCGGCGGAGTCGCGTCGGCCCCGCTCAGCCCGGAGGAGGCGGTCTGGCTCTGGGCGCGGGCTCCTCGACGGACAGGCGCGGTGAAGTTGTTGACGCTTCGCGAATCCCCACCAGCCCATCCAGAAACGATGCCCTGAGGAACTGCCTGGATCAGGGAAGTGGGCAGCACGCAGAGGAAGCCACTGTGAGACATCTTGGGATATCTTGAGCCATCTTGGAGGTCATCTTGGGCTCGCCCAGGCGCTCTTGGAGTAATCATAATCAGCGTTCCCCCCAAGAGGCCAACATGTGGCTAAAACCTTCGTGAAATTAATGACGTGGTATTCTCGCCGAGGCCTATTGGAGTATCTTGCGTGCCTCTGGGGGGTCTCTTGGGGCCTCTTGCGGGTCTCTTGGGGGCCTCCTGGGGGCGTCTTGGGGCCCCCGGGGCCATCTTGGGACCTATCGGGGCCTCCTGGGCGCTTCTTGGGGCCATCTTGGAGGAGATCGATCAAGCGAGAGGGGGGCATTAATTACGCCCCCCCAGGAGGCCAAAATGGGGCCCAAACCCTAGTACAAGCAATGATTTGGGCTTCCTCGCCGAGGCCTTTTTGGCATTCTCGCCGAGGCCTCTTGGGGCATATTGGGTGCCTCGCTCAGATACTACGAGCCTGCTGCAGGCGCCGATTGTTTTCGTTCAAGCAGTGTCGGTGGGTCGCGGTCTCATGTCGGGGGGTGCCTGGGCAACCACGAGGTGGGTCGTCCAGCGTGGGGCGGTGCTTGGTGCTGACTTGCAAAGGGTACGATGGCGGTGGAGGATCAAGTAATTAGAAAAGGGGGAGGTCTTCATATGATCCCCCCCCTTCAAGGGGTCTGTTTCGCGCGGGGCCGTGTGGAGACCTGGACGCCGTACGCTTCCGCGTGGAGGCCTGGGGCCCAGGGCCTTTCTGCCCTCCTCCTCCTCCTCCTCCTCATCCTCCTCATCCTCCTCCTCCTCCTCCTCCTCCTCCTCCTCCTCCTCCTCCTCCTCCTCTTAGGGCCATCCTGGGACCGTCGTGTGGGGCGTTGAGCGCGTCTCGCCCTCGGCGGAACGTGGCGGAAGGCCAGCGGACGCTGGCGGAAGCAAAACGGCTCAGGTCCGCCAGCGGAAGCAAGTGAGAGCCTGGCGGAAGGCGGCGGAAGTAAAAGTGAGACGCAACATGTTCGGGTTTGGGGTTTTTGGAGTCGGCCGTTTGGAGAAATTTAGGGGGGGCAGGGGTGGTGACAAACGAACGACGACTACTTCGGGGTAAGTTAAGGGCTCCGAGCCCTAGAACACAGCTGTGCAAGAGACGTTGCTCGATGATCCTTACCTCGTCCGTCATGTTTCGGGCCCCACGAGGCACGCGACGAGAATCTTCCGGAGGGTCACCCTGATGAGAGAGCTGACCAAGACGGGCTGGCGTGTACGCGATCCCGTTATCAGGACCGGTGGTAAGAATTTGCGACGTCCAGTTGGCGGGAGGGATGAGGGAAGATGGAAGCGCGATGATGAGGATTCTGATGATGCTGATGATGATGTTGATGATGATTATGCTGATGATGATGACGAGGATGATGATGATGATGATGATGACGATGCTGATGCTGATGCTGATGCTGATGCTGATGAGGAGGAGGAGGATGCGGATGAGGATGAGGATGAAGATGAGGATGATGAGGATGATTATGAGATGTAGTGCTGGTGATGATGCTGCTGCTGATCACGATGATGATGTTGATGATGATGATGATCATCATGACAAGGATGAGGATGCGGATAAGGATGAGGACGATGATGAAGATGATGATGACGACGAGGATGATGATGCTGATGATGATGGTAGTGGTGGTGATGCTGATGATGACGACGATTATGATGATGATGACGATGATGATGCTGATGCTGATGTTGATGATGATCAGGAGGAGGAGGAGTATGAGGATAACGACGATGATCATGGAAAGGAGGAGGAGGATTGTGATGGTGACCGTGATGGTGATAATGTTGGTGGTGATGATGATGATGGTGGTGATGTTGTTGGTGGTGGTGGTGATGATGATGCTGATGCTGATGCTGATGCTGATGCTTATGATAAAGATGCGGATGATGCATACGATGATGACGATGATGATTACGATGATGATGTTGATGGTTATGTTGTTGATTGTAAGTATGATGATGAATATGCTGCTAATGATGATGAAACTGATGATGCTGCTGATGATGATTATGATGCTGATGATGATGATGATGCTGATGCTGATGCTGGTGCTGGTGCTGATGATGGGGAGGATGAGGATGAGGATGAGGATGAGGATGCTGATGATGATGCTGAGGATGATGCTGCTGATGATGACGATGATGATGATCAGGACGAGGATGAAACTGATGATGAATAGGTTAACGTTGCTGCTGCTGTGTGCTGCAGCTAATGATGATGAGGTTGAGGATGACGAGGATGATGATGATGATGAGGATGAT